AACAGACGTGTGTCGAGCTGCACACGTCTGTTTTTTTGTTATTTTTTCTCAGGCGCGTAAAAGCCGAATTTGTAAGCTACGACACTAATTCACCACATAAGTTCGTCCAGGTAGTGAATCTTTGTACAAATAAAAAAAACTTGCCGCACTAAAAAAAGAAAAAAGTTCTTTGGGCAGTTATTTTCTTCTCAAAGCTAGCAAAAGTTTTTGTGGGTGATAAAGGAAAACAGATAACGTTAGCAAGGTGAGAACATTGTCTTTCCCTTCCGCATTCCCACCCCCACCCACAACAATTTTTTTTTATTAGAATACATAGGATTTTAAGTTTTCCTTCGTAACTTTTGACTAAAGCAAGTGTTTTTTTTTTTTTTTTTGCATTTTTAAATATTATATTTACCTCCACCCGAACTCGGGCAAATTAGAGAGTTGTAACTTACAAATCCGAACTTTCGCGATTTCTTTTATGTCCCTTGTGGTATTCACAAGCGCAATGTTAATTAATACTGCTGCGTAACGGGTTCGAACGATTGGGAGGCGAATGTTTATATCGCATGAGCTTCACGCGCCGGCCGTTCGCTAGTAGTCGTTACGGACCTGAATACTACGCACGAGATTGCGTAGTAAACAAGCAGTGACGCAAAGCAGAACATTGTTTTCGTTTTCATTACAAACTTCAGTGTTTGGAGCTAGTTAGTGGTTGTACTCTACATGCCCACCATTCCCCATTCAATGGAGCATGAATGCTCAATCCTCAACACTGCACTTGACAATGACTGTTTTATTTATTGATCAGGATACTCTTATCATGTTTACCTTTTCGGTACATGTACGATGGGCAAAGAGCGACGGCACGGCATCCTTTTTAAGCCTCGACCCCTTCGCTGACAAGCCACAAGCAACCAACACCCGTAGGTTTCGTTCGTAACTCTCCGGCGAAAAATGATCGGAGCAGAGCTTCGATCTGGGGGTCGACGTCCAAGGCTTTCCAAACTCCACTCGTCGAACAGCGTTCACCCACACCTTCTCCAATTTCCGCTCCGTTGGAAACTTGTGAAAAAGCACCTCCGGGTTGCGCAGCGGCTTGTTTGAGCAGCCCACAGCGCTTTAAGTTGTACTCGGCATCTTTCGAGGGACAGCTGGGCAGTCTTGGACGCACCGAGTTGCTCGCTAAAACGAGTCTAGGAGACCTCGCAAGCAAATAAACAAAAGGCTATACCGAAGCTACACGGGCTACAGGTAAAAGCAACGGCTAAACACGCAATAACAAGCCGAAGTAGCGGTGGTAGCGGCACAAAGAAGCGCACACGACGGCTACGCCGTGCTCCCGTCCGGAACGGAGGAAAAAAAGAGTACGATGTTGACATCACGGCCCAATGTTGCTTTAGCGATCGGCAACCCGCTGGCCGCCCGCTAAGGAGCAGCGGCTCGCGGCGGGTCGCGTTTTTAATATCGGCATTAGTTGAGAATGCGGCGTCGCACGGACGTGAAATTTTGGCTGGGGTCGTATTTTGTGTCACTGAAGCGATACCAGTAATTTAATTCATTTTGAGTTTTGGCCGGAGTTGCCCTTTAACCAACTTAACTCAAGAAAGAAAATACTATTTAGCCGTGCCAAAGAACTGACTACCGATCTCGCTTGGAATCAGTACAATGATATTGCTCAAATTTATAAGAAATCCATTACAGAGGCAAAGGCAAAATTCTTTAACATTGACTTAGTTAACATTCTTCGCAATAAACCAAAAAAGTTTTGGTAGGTAACTAATCCAAAAACGTCTAAACCTGTACAACTAATGAGCGATGATCGGTTGCCATTAGCGGATATAAGAAACCCCAACAGTCTTAACGACTATTTCACCTTAGTCTTTACCACAGATAACCACACTAGCGTACCTTATCTTAACAACGCATATCACACTGCCATGGCTGCCTTTGAAATAACGTATTCAAGTATCATAAGCTCTATAGGAAGGCTACAGGTGTCTTCCAGTTCTGGGGACGACAAAATTAACTCTAAAATTACTGAAAAACACTAAATTACACCCAGCTCGTTTTCTGTTAATTATCTTTCAACAATCTTTGTCTTCCGGCGAGCTTCCTACGGATTGGAAAATTGGCAGAGTGGTTCAAATACACAAATCGGGGGATCGAACTTTACCATCAAATTATCGCCCCATGTCTCTAACCAGTGTCCCGTGCAAGTTACTTGAGCACATAATATATTCAAATGTCATGAAGCATTTCGAAAATAACCTCATCCTTGTTTTAAGCCAGCACGGGTTCAGCCAATCATATTCTTGCGAAACACAACGAGTACAGCTTTTTCCTAAAATACACAGTAACCTCAATAATAACCTACAGACAGACGCCATATCCATTGATTTTTCTAAAGCATTCGATAAGGTATCCCATAGTTTACTTCTGCTCATGCTAAATCAACTTCACATTCATCCACTCGTAACATCATTTATAGAACAATTTGTAACCAATCGTACTCAGCATACTGTGCTTAACAACCAGTCGTCAGTTTGTTCTCCTGTATCATCCGGAGTCTTCCAGGGCAGTGTTCTCGGACCTCTGCTTTTTTTAACATTTGTAAATGACCTACCTGACCACATAATATCCTGTATTCGACTTTTTGCTGATGACTGCGTGATTTACCGATCTGTATCTAACCTGAAAGATAACATAACCCTACAAGCTGACCATAAGCTTAAAGCCGACTGGTGTAAACAGTGGAACATGACAATTAACTTTTCTAAAACAAATCTTGTTTCCTTCACGTGTGCTCATAGTCCTCACTGTTTTACTTACACCATGTGCAGCCAGGTAATCACCAAGTGTCCATCTTACAAATATCTTGGCGTTCACTTATCTGACGATCTCTCATGGAACACGCATATAACACACGTGCTGTCTAATGCTAACAGCTCTCTTGGCTATCTTCGACGGAATCTACAACTAGCACCCATCATCAGTTAAACAACTAGCCTACACTACACTCGTAAGATCGCAACTTAAATACGCGTCATCCATCTGGTCCCCTTGGCGACATTCATTGATAACAAAAATAGAAGCACTTCAAGATCGCGCAATCAGATTCATTTTTTTTTTCGGATTACTCACAAGACACCAGCATCACTTCTTTACGAATGAAAGATAACATTGATCTGCTTTCATATAGAAGAAAATTATCACGCCTGTCTCTTTGTCACAAGATTTACTATCATAACCATGTCATCAGAACTTCACTATTATTCCCAGCCACTCGCATATTTACTCGCATTAATAACGTCTGTAAAGTTCGTTAAATTTTCGCCTCGTCAGTTTCGTTTCTTAACTCCACCTTGCCATTAACAATAACAGACTGGAATAGCCTGCCTAACAGCATCGTGACCCAGACAGATCATAACACATTCATATCTCAACTGACCATTCATCTGCAGTTGAATTAATAGCAAAACAATTTCGTCTTTATAGGAATGTTTTTATTTGTGGATTTTTCTGTTTAATCAGCTGCTTTTCCTAAAGATGTATTAAGTGTTTTTTTTTCCTGTTTTTTGTTGCTTTAGCAGTGTTCTCCAGTATGAACCCACTTTTTGTTTGTTCCTTTATAATATCTATATATATTATAATTATATATTATATATATTATAATTATATTATAATATATATATAATTATATATATATATATATATATATATATATATATATATATATATATATATATATATATATATATATATATATTATATATATATATATATATATATATATATTATATAATATAATTATAATATATTATAATTATAATTGCGAGTACCTCCCACCTTGCGTAATGCCCGTAAGGGCTTTCAAGGTTTAATAAATGATGATAATGAATGATGAGTGTTTAAAAAGAAATGTTCAATATACATCTAAAAAAAAAGAAAGATATAAATTTAAACTTTAAGAAAGCTCCAACTATTTGGATGGTGTCCCAGAAGCAGTATTGCAGAATTAGAAACGTGGTTCAGTGTGCGATTAGTCGTTTGTAAGAAGAACAAAAACAGTTACAAATCCAATTATTTTAAAAGCTAACGATTTCATAATTTCACATTCAAACACATATCAATAACGGTAAAAAGAACAAAAAAAAAACAACCTCGGAGACGAAAGAAAATTATAAAACATATAGGCTGCTGTAATGTACGTCATCAAAACAACAATAAAATACAAAATCAGAGCTCGCTATTATGTTGTTATTGCTTTAGCGTTCTTCTAAAATTCTCACCAGAGACCAGAACCACGGCATCAGGAAGTACTGATTTTATATACCGGTTATCACATTGAGACTCACATCAGATTACATTTATCAGTAACAAGTGTAGGATTTTAAAAGACACATGACATTTTTCACAAAACAAAGCCGACTTTTTCCCGGTTTTGTGTGGCAAAGGCAGTGGTAAAATACAGAATGTATTGTTAAGTTCTCGGTAATGGTTTAGAAATAAACCAGCCATTGTTCACCGCGATTGGCTGTATACGTATTCTGCAGAAAAGGTAACTTACTGAATTTGTTTTAGAGTGTAGTTTATGGAAATTCATTTTGAACGCAACTAGGTTCATTGCCAGAACAGACTTCTTTCTATGGCGAAGGAAACTGAAAATGCAGCACTTTGTCGCGCTTGATGAGCATGCTCTTAATTGCGAAACTATTTCTGCCTGGCGTTTGTGAGACGAAAAATATATGGCTCGTTGTGACGTAAACGCCATATCTCAATCTATTCAGACTAGAAACTTGCTTAAAAATATATTTGAATGCAACTGAGTGAAATGAAAATGTATTCGATGAACTGACGTTTCCGTAAACCGGGCATTCTATGAAATGGTATGTTCTAAATCATAGCGTATAACTGTCAGAGTTCATGAGCCGCCGCGGTGGCTCCGAGGCAAAGCGCCGGCCGACAGATACCTAGGTGATGGGTTCGAATCCCGACCAACGTGCCCACAATCTCACGGAGGCTTGTTGCGTGGTGGGTGCCTTGTAACTGCTATTTCGGTTGCACGTCAAAAGTTCCCCAGTGTTCGGCTGCACGTGAAAAAAAAAAAACGTTGAAATTTTATTATTAGCAATTTATCGCTACGATTGCTAAGCAAAATGCAAGATTGAACTATTCATAAGAGAACATTTTCTGCAAGCTCCCTATCCTGAGAGACCGTGGACATCAAACACTGATGAGTAACACAGGCATCTTCTTTGTGTTAGAAAGGAAAAGCTCAACGATCGATGCGAAGAACCAAAAATGCAATTCACACGTTAGTTCTTCTACGGACTACTAAATTATAACTTGAAAATATGAAGAAAAAAAAAAGTAACATATTTGATTACGCTCGTATAGTCATCGCCAACTCAAGAGACGCAGAAGGTGGCGAACCTCGAGAGGCTTATTGTCGCTACACAGCGAATGAGACTTCTGCCATCGCGAAATTGCGATGGCGGAATGCGCAAGCCACATTCATTTGGCTCAAAGGAAGGCGTTGCCAGCGAGCTGCCAAGCGAGAGGACGAGCGGAAGGGACTTACCGCGAGTGAGTCGCCGGTCGATCTGACGTCGCCGTTGTTGTTCCAGAAAAGCGGCGATACCGGCGACCGCAGCGCTTGGACGGGGTCCGTGGGCTGCTCCGAACGCTGGTCAAGGCCGGGCAAATCGTCGACTCCGAAATTGCCCGCAGCTTCTTGCTCCCCTCCTGCGCGAGACTACACGGGACGCGATTATCTCACGAAGCCGGCGGGGCTCGAGATGAAAAGAGCGCAGGTGGCCTGCTTGCATCCGATTGTAAACACGATTCCACTGTCAAAGAGAAACAAACATAGTCTGCATCTTGCAGTGCTGAAAGTAACGCATTACAAGTAACGACGTTACTGCTAACTCGTTAACTGTGTTCAGTGCCGTTCTAAAGTACTTGTTACCATAAAGATTTACTACGAACGAATAAAGTGTTTTCGTTACTATTGGACGGTATTTCTTTTAGAAAGATACGTAACAAGTTACTCGTTACTTTTAACTGAAATTCATCACGTTTTCCGTTGATTTTTTTTATTCTGTTTTTAAAATTGTTATTAAATAGCGGCTCGGGGAAAGATATCTAAAATCGTGCACTGCGACGACTCCGTCTCCAAAGGTAGGGGAGAGGGGGGAGGGGGGGTGCTTGCTATGTGGCGACAGCCACGGATATCTCGAAAGACGACGAGCGCGTGAGAAAAAAAATATTACAGTTCAGTTCTGCTTGAGATTTGAAGCTGCTGCGTCCTTCGTCCTCCTGCAACCACGCTTCTATTATTTGTGTCCTCGTCGTTTGAGCGCTGTGTTCCATTTTCCGAAGTATGCACAAACTAGCTCGCATCGCCATTTTAATTCACTAACCTTCTTAGTTCTAATGTATTAGTGATGAAATAAAGTGCTCCTGTTAATTTATTTCACACCCCATTAATACACATGTGTTCTATTTATTTTGTCTAATTCTTGCAGGCACAATGTTTACCTCTAATTTTTTTTTTTTTTTTACCTTTGAGATCCCAAACCCTAACTCCCCCCCCTTCCCTCCTACATTTCTCAACAACCTTCACGCTTGCCATTTCTTATTTGTTCACTCTCTCTTATCTTACCCACACACCCACAGCACCCTTTCATTTTTATACAGGGAGTTTATTTTTAGCTGCACCAAAGTTTCAAATGAAGGGGGCAAAAGTTATATGGATGCGGTTTTCACTGCGTATTTATATGGCTTGGCGGATATTATATGGCAATATCACCATCACAATTATAAGACTATTTAACTAAAACTCATTGATGAACATTTTATATGCTGTAATTAGGATATATGTTTATATAACAAACTTTGAGGGAGTCGTACGCCAAGACTGCTCCATTTTGTAGAATTCGCGTAACCAGCCCGTGTTCCGAGATATCTTCCCCTGACTATTCTATTTAATTCGACTTCTTTATTATTTATTCAATTATTATTTATTCATACTGCTCACCTTTTTCAAGGTTTTGGCAGGAGTGGTACAACATAACTTCAAATATACAATGCTCTTTTACATAAAATCAACAGCGTTGGCACTGCCCCACAGCACTGCAGCACTAAATACAAGCATCAATTCACACCAAAAGAAACACAAGCGTGCAAAAAAAAAAAACGTGAAAATGCAGCTATCTCAAAATTAGAACACGATTGGAATCACACATATGAAGGAACAGCAAGGCAAACGTGCAACAAGGTTTTGACAGAGGCATATCTACTAAGTTCGCGACAAAAACCTTGACAACGAACCCCATCGACCACGTTGGCTAGGAATGACTCGCAAGACGGAAAAAAAAAAGAAACCGACAAAGAAAGCACACAGCAAGGTTCAAAACAAGACTATCTATTCAATTTGTGATAGAAACTGTGATAAAGAAACACTCTCGACCATGTCGGCTGGCAAGGAATTCCACTCGCGGATAGTGCGTGGAAGAAACGAATGAGGAAATGTATTGTTTTTAGCAGAAAATTCTTTGATTGACAGTCGGTGTCATCTCCTCGTGGCCCGTGGTCGGAAGAAAGAAATATAATTGCTATTGTTGATTTTTAGTCTCTCGTTCACAATGAGGTACAAAAATTTTAATCTGTCCCTCCGGCGTCTTGGTTCCAGGCATTTAAGGTTAGCATCTGCTAAGAGCGGGCTTGGTGATACTGACCAGCTGTAGGTGTTGCAAATAAATCTAATTGCCTTTCTTTGTGTTTTCTCAAACTTCGTTATGTTTACCTCCGTGTGTGCATCTCACACCACGGCCGCACGTAAGTTTTGTAGGCAATCAATTTTGCTGATATGCTAGAATGACCCATGGACCGTCTTAGATAGCCTAGCTTTTGGTACGCGCGATTTACAATGTAGTCGATGTGGTTGTTCTACCGCAGATCGTATGATAGTATTTAAAAGTTTCCACTTTTTGCAAAGATAGGCCATCTATCTTGTAAGGAAGTTGTGAAATGTTTTTCTTTTTTCGAGTGATGGTCATACACACGGACTTTGTTGCGTTGAGTGTCATCTGCCACGTTTTGCACCACTGATTATTTTTTTCCCGGGAATTCTCAATAAGGAGATTATTCTTCAGGAGTAGTAACTTCTTTATAAAGGACGCAGTCGTCTGCAAAGAGATTAATCTGGACTGGAATGTCGTTTAAGACATCATTATTAAATACGAGAAACATTAGGGGCCCGAGAACAGATCCCTGCGGTACCTCAGAGTCAACAGAAACGGAATCGGAGAATGTACCATTAATTATAACGGCTTGGCGACGGGACGATAGATAGTCACTAATCCAGTTCGTGATCGTGTCGTTTCTTAAAATTGATTTTAGTTTTATTAATAACTTCGGGTGCGAAAATTTATCTAAGGCTTTCGAAAAATCCAGGAGGACTACGTCCACTTGACCACGCCGGTTTAAAACTTCTGAATAATAGTGCGTAGTTTCCACCAACTGTGTAGAAGTAGAGAGGGCTCTGCGAAAGCCATGTTGCCTGGGATGAAGCAAGTTATTTGATTCTAAAAAAGGAAAAATTTGAGCTGATATTATGTATTCCAGTACTTTTCCTGTGGTGCATAGTGTTGTGTCATGGCGCCGCAACGCGCCGCTATCGTGCGCTCTGGAAAATATAGATAAGCGCGGCACTCGAGAGAATAAAGATTCTGCCGTTTTCTGGCACTTGGCTGGCTGCATGTTTCATGCCACATCATCTAGCGACAAAGATGAGGGCGAACAGATAGCCGCTCTCGTGAGTGAAGGGTCGACAGAGCTACAAAGCTTCGTGGCAATGTCGAAATTTTGGGAATTCGACACCTACGTGGAAGGAGGTGACGAGGACTTCAACTCGTATGTTGAGCGGTTCGAGCACTACTGGAAGGTGACCCAGATCAAGGACAGCAACGTCAAGAAGTCCGCCTTCATTACCGCCCTCGGTAGACGCCCGTACAAAACCCTGAAGGACCTGCTGCTGCCTGCGACCCCGGAGGACGAGTCGTTCGAGGACCTGGTACAAGTCTTGAAAGAACACTATCTCGAGGAAGCCAAGTAATACCAGAGAGGTTCAAGTTTAACCGTCGGTACCAGCTGGAAACCAAGTCAGTTTCGACGTTTGCCGTGGAACTACGACACTTGGCAGCTAAGTGCGCGTTCGGAAACTTCCTTGGCGACGCTTTGCGCGACAGATTTGTCGCGGGTCTCAGGAATCCGGCGATTCAAGCAGCGCTACTTAAGAAGAGGGAGCTGAACTTCGAGACCGCCTGCGAGCTTGCAAGAGTCACCGAACTCACCGAAAAAGAGTCCAAGGGCTTTATCCGTCGGATAGTGTCGTCCCGGGAGAAGGGTGCGTAAATTGAGTCAGCAAAAAGGGCCGGCCACAGCACAAGAATAAGGTGAGCGCACCTTCAAGTTTTTTTCCGAACGGCACCTGCTATAGGTGCAGAGAAAAGCACGACGCCAGCAGCTGTATACAGCTGCTGGCGTCGTGCTTTCACAGAGCAAGATGTCACTGGTGCAAGAACGTCGGGCACTTAGCCAAAGCATGCATGAAGCGGAAACGGAAGCCCGTTAACGCGTTAGAAGCGGAGCACGAGCATGACCAGTTGCAACTCTTCCACATTCAAAAAAGCAAGCAGCTGGAGCAACCTTATCTGGTGGAAGTCAAGATCGCAGGGCGGCCGGTCAGCATGCACATAGATACCTGAGCAGCCGTATCTATTATTAACGAAGAAGTCTACGCGCAACTGCCACGACAACGCTGGCTGGGACCATGTACGCTATAGAGCTAGAAACGTACGGCGGCACACCGCTAGAGACAAGGGTGCAGGCGACTGTTGTTGTAGAGTACGAAGGACAAAAAAAGTCTCTGCCAGTAATTCTCGTGCCAGGAACGCAACCGTGCCTTTTGGGTCGGAACTGGCTTGCCGAACTCAAGTTGAACTGGATCCAAGTGCTCAGTGTAGATGTGAAACAGAAAGTCAGCGGTCTACTAGAGTAGTAGAAGCAGGTGTTCTCTTCAGAAGTAGGCTTGATAAAAGGACCGCAAGCGCAAGTCATCTTGAAAGACAGAGCCCGTCCTGTGTTCTGCAAGGCTCGTCCAGTCCCCTACGCCTTAAAGGACGCGGTCGAGTTAGAAATCCAGAATCTGAAGGAACGAGGGATTCCGGAGCCGGTCCTGCAGAGCGACTGGGCCACGCCACTCGTTGTCGTCCCGAAGGCCGAGCACAAAGAGAGACTGTGAGGGGATTATAAAATCACACTCAATCCATGCATAAAGACGGATCACTACCCGCTTCCACTTGTAGAAGACATCTTCTTGGTGCTTGTTGGGGGGAAAGTTTTCACAGTACTAGACTTGACAAGTCTACCAACAAATTCAGGTGCACGAAGACTCCCAGAAGTTGCTAACCATAAACACACACCTGGGGTTATTCAAGTGCTTCCGCATGCCGTACGGAATCTCAAGTGTCCCGGCATTTTTTCAGTCCGTGGTGGACGAGATACTCAAGGGACTCGATGGAGTAGCGTGC